AAAAAAAAAAAAACCTCTATCTACCAAGCTCCCCTTCTCTAATAAGCCCTTCCTTCAAATAAGTCCTGTCACTAAGATGGTTCCCCTGCCTGATAGGTCCCCTTCTCTCTCAAAAAAAAACCTCTATCTAATAATCCTCACCCTAAAATAAGGCCCTTTACTAAGATGGTTCCCCTGTCTGATTGGTCCCCCTCCCTTGTAAGTCCTCTCTCTCTAATAAACCCCTCCCTCAAATGAATCCTTTTGCTAAGATGGTATCCCTGCCCGAAAAATCCCCCTCTCTCTAATAAGCCCCCCTCTCTAGTAAGCCTATGCTGGCACCCTCTACCTTCAGAAGCTCTTGTGCTAAATAAGCCCTCTTCAGTGATTAGAAGAACATTCTGATTGTTTGCGTCTTCTAACCTTTCAATTGATTCCAACTTTTCCTGAAGGGTCAGTATCGTTCCTTTGTGTTCCTGTGTAGTTTCATACAACTGCAAAATACCATGATTAAACAGGATTAAATTTATGAACCTCTATCCCAGTGAATGAATAATTGTGATATCATAATAACCTCTCGCTGCAGTCTCTCATTTTCTTGAATTTTTATCTGAAGTTCCTGATCTTTTACAAAATTGTCCTCTCCCTTTGTCACACCATCAATCCTCGACTAAAATGCATAAAAGAAATTGGGTAAATAAACAAAAATAAATAAACAGTGAACAAAGACGCAAATATAAACTCATCAGGAAAGACTGCTTTGCTCTTTGTTAATCTCAATTCTTTGACCCTTTAACTACCAAGATCTGATTGTTAATTCTCCCCTGTAGCTGCTTCACATTTCCTTGTAAATTAGTTATGAGAACTTGGTGCTAGATCAAGATAGAAGCTTCTACCTGATAAGTTTGAATATTCTCATTACCTGTTTGCTGAATAATGCATGGATATTGTAGGGAGAAGTTTTATGTTAATCACTTCTGGGAGTTAAAGAGTTAACAAAGTTTTTCAAAAAGGAGAAAAATTACAGAAAATGGAAACCTCACAATTGGGACTTCCACTTGTCCCACAGTTATACCTCTGACAATGAATAAAAATAATTCTGCATCACTACAAGTTTTCATTTTCAATTGCATGTCTTTTGTTTGAGCAGTTCTGAGAATCTGTTGTTATATCTAATCAACTTCATCCAACTGATAATTTTCTGTATTCTCATCTCTAATCTGCATGGAATCACAGAAGAATTGTAATGAGAATTGATAAATGATATCAGTCCTGAAAAAGAGGAGGTAATCCTTAAAAAGTCAAAGCCTGTGCTCAAGCTAAGTGCCTTCCCAGCTGAGTTTATCCTTCTTTACATAGCATGAGGCAACAAAGAGTAGCACTACTCCCCCCTGGATGGGATGCCAGTACTTCACAAGATAGATAGTGTAGATAGTGTTATACAAGCTTTGAACAATAAGGGCCTTGGCACTAACCACTAGATCACTGTCTCCCTTAACTCTAAATAGTATATGAACAATAGCAACCTTTCCTCTTCTGTTCTTTCCATCATAATCATCGAGCTCCTCTTGCAACACTGCCACTCTCTTTGACAACTTATAAAATCAATGGGAAAAAAAGGAGGTGTCATAATCAAAATCTTATCTTTATAAATTCCAGCTCTCTGAACTTGTCTCCCCACTGTTCCAAAAGTGGCCATTGAGGAGAGGTTTGACTGTCATTAGCTTTTAAACATAGCGCAGTTTTTAACTAAGCATCCAAAGTACGTGTAATCCTGAGATGCCATGGTCAAAACTCATTTCAAGAAACCTCAACCGCCTAAAATTTGATCATAAAAGTTGCCAAATTAATTCAGTGATTCCTGTCCCACCTGATCATTTCTGAACTGTAAGCTGTCAATCTCCTGTTCATATTTTCTAATAGACTGGTCCTTCTGCCGCAATGTTTCCTAGAGTAGGTAATAATTTTTTAGATAAAATTTTCAAAGAACATGCAAACGAATACTGTTAATGAGTTACTACAGAAAAGAAGCCATGCCGAGAAAGGATGTAGAAGGAAATAACTAAAATAATTAAATCTCCTTACCTGAAGGGTCTTGGTTTTTTCTTGTTCCTCGATAACTGCCTTCTTTAAAACCGTGTTCTGCGCTCTTTGCTAAATGATTAAAAAAAATAAAAATTGTGGATTCATTATATATATCTCTGTCTTCATTATATATATCTCTGTCTTCATGATCACCTGAAAATCGCTAAAGGTAATTTTATCAAGTGACCCCTAAGTATTTCAAGAAATTGTGATATTTGATTCAAAAATGCTTTGTAAATAGATTACGTGAACGATCGAGGAAAAAGATCTTTAATGAACCTAAGTCATTCTAGCAAGGTTAACTTGACACATATGGCTGTGATGTTTTGACGCGATTCACGGTTAAGTACCTTTGCAAATTCTGCAGCCAATTTCTGATACTTGGCTTGAAGCGTTTGAGAGTCCGAACTCATGGTGGCTCCTTGGGTGTCTTCTAATGAACATCTGATCGCAGAATATTTTGAGAAGACTTGATCATTTCAAATGTCATTTGCGTGCCTCCGGAGGCGGCCATTTTGTTTTTCCTCGGCGAGTGATCACGTGACTACGCAAATACTTCAAAGTCTCACGGGTAACAGAAAAAAACAAACAAAAGAAAGATGGCGGAAACATCGAAAGACTGATAACACGAGAATTTCTCTTCTTATGCAACACCTAAGGTGAAAATGAGCCATTCCATGTTAAAAGTGATGCAAGACATTAATTCGACTTAAATGAAGCGCTCTGTATTGGCTTAATTTTGGATAATACTGAACGGATCACACACCACGTTCACTTCGATTCTAGTTCGACTTTACCTTCATTTGAATTTTGCAAAGGTCAGTGTGTTTTCAATGGATTCAAAAGAAGCAGTTGCAAGTAACAGCGAGGGAAATAGAGAGGCAAAAAAAGTTACAGATTGTGCAAAGCCCTCCGAGAGCAATGCTCGCGCAGACAGTATCAATGCGCGTGCTATTGTTAATGATCCACGTGCAACGATTCAGCAATCGAAAGAGGAAGCAAAATACACGATTGATTCGACACATGTGGTCGGCAATAATGATGCAAGGGAAGAAGAAGATGCTACAGATGGCAAATCTCAAAATACAAAGAAGAAACGGAAGAGAAGGAAAAAGAAAAAAAAAGATTCTGAAACTGTAAGTGCTATGTCAGCAAATACCAGCTGTGATGCAATGGAATACGATTGTGATGTTACGAAGAGTACTTCCCCTGACTCAGCTAAACAGCTGAGCGATTTTGCTGATAAAGAAGAACACGATTGCATCGATTCAGAATTCACTGCTAGTCAAGATCAACCAAAAGCAGACAGCAAGAAAAAGAGCAGATCGCGAAGAAGACAAGGAAAAAGTGCACAGCTGGGCGAGGAACCACCGCCATTTCAAGAAACAGAACTACCAGTTGAAGAAACAGAAGAAATCATGGCAAAAGGAGACGATGCGAGCTCAAACTTTGCTGACAGTGGGGAGAAAGAAGATCGTCAAGATTTGCCGACCACTGAGAATACGAGTGGCAGTAAAAGGAAGAGGAATAGGCGAAGAAAAGCGAATAAAGTTCAAGATGGCGAGGAAGCCAGCGAAGGGATAAGCCATCACGACCTTGTGGGGAGTGATTTACATCGTAGTCAAGAACCAAACGACGGTGTTCACCACGGGGAAGTGTCCGCTAAAGATTCAGAGACGAGAAATGCGAATCAATCCACTCCAAATACTCAGAAGAGTAGAAATTCAACTCGAAGAACGCCCAGCAGTGGCAACAAGAAACAGAAACCGCTCTACGAGAAGTATTGGTCCTTAGAGAGAGTCTCAGATGGATTAAAAAGAGGAGAACTTGTGAAAGGAATATTAAGGATTAGTCCCCGAAACTATGAGTTGGCTTGGGTAACAGTACCGGGTCTAAAACGCGATGTACTCTTGGAAGGAATGTTGAATCGTAACCGTGCTCTCAACAACGACGTCGTTGCGTTGAAGATATATCCCAGGGATAAATGGAAAATAATGCTGGAAGAACTGAAATACAACGGTTTGACAGGGGAAAATACAGAGCATAACCACGTTGACAGGTTAGCTGATAGTTTAGACTCCTTAGCCGTGAGTCCTGCGAATGTTATGCAATCTCCTTCAGCGAGGACGGTTCGTATCGAGAATAAGGCTGGCCATACCCCTGAGTCACGTCGTCAAAAACATTACATCGATGTCAATCAAGTTCCTGACGAATTTTTACAAAGAAGAGCTAAAGTGGTCTACATCATCGAGAAGAAACACTCGCGGGTTGCAAGCGGACATCTAAAACCCTTCCTCCATCCCAAAGAAAGACCTGATGGGTGTTTCTCCCCGATTGACAGTCGGTTGCCAAGGTTTCGTATCCCGCGGGACAACTGCCCGCCGGGATTCTTTAACAGACCACGTGACTTCGAAAATACCTTGCACGTGGCACGTATTGTGAGTTGGCCTGAGAACTCTTCCCGGGATTCGTTTCTCGCAATTGGTTCAATATCGCGGAGCCTGGGTGAAGCAGGTGAAATAGAACCCGAAACAGAGGGGATCCTTCTCGAGTACGGCATAGATTCTGGGCCATTTTCGGACGAGGCCCTGGCGTGTTTACCCCAAGAAACACCTTGGAAAGTACCCTGCGAGGAACTGAAATACCGAAGAGACTTCCGCGATGATTGCGTCTTTACCATTGATCCTCTCACAGCCAGGGATTTAGATGACGCAGTACACTGCAAGAAACTCGCAGATGACCTCTTTGAAGTTGGCGTCCATATTGCCGATGTCAGCTTCTTCGTTCGCTCAAGAACAGCGCTGGATGAAGTGGCTGCCGAGAGAGCAACATCCACTTATATGGTGCAGAAAGTTGTACCCATGCTCCCACGGCGATTGTGCGAAGAGCTGTGTAGTTTGAACCCTGGGGAAGACCGCCTGACAATCTCCATTGTTTGGAAAATGACAAGCAAAGGAGACATTATTGACGATTGGAAAGGAAGGGGAATCATTCGTTCGCGAATAAAAATGGCTTACGAACATGCGCAAGATATGATTGACAAGCCGAACAGGAAATGGAATGAAAACGAGCTTCCCCCGATTTCAGACGGTGCTACTGCGGAGGAAATTTCCGTGCAGGTAAATCAGCTTCATAAATTTGCAATCCGTCTCAGGCGCAATCGCTTAGAGAATGGCGCGCTCCGTTTGGACCAAGCAAAACTCCGGTTTGATCTGGATAAAGAAACCGGTATGCCTAGCGGGTACCACGTGCACAAACAGCGCGACTCGAACAGGCTTATTGAAGAGTTCATGTTGCTTGCCAACATGGCGATTGCTCACCACATCTACAGGTCATATCCCGAGACAGCGCTTCTAAGGCGACATCCAAAACCGCATCAGAAACAGCTCGACGATCTTCTTGAGCTGTGCAGATCGCTTGGTATTGAGTTCAACACCACTTCATCCAAGACTATTCACGAGTCGCTTGCACAATTTCCGCTCTCCTCTCCTGAGCGTGAAGTTCTTGTCAATTTAGCTATGCGTCCCATGAAAAACGCGGAGTATTTTTGCACGGGGTGCGTAGATGACGGCGAATATGGACACTATGCCCTAAGCGTGCCTCTGTACACACACTTTACGTCCCCGATAAGAAGATACGCAGATGTAGTAGTGCACAGGCTTCTGGCTGCGAGCCTTGGAATCGATGAACCACTGGACCAGGATCCCTCTACCATTGACATGATCGCGCACCATTGCAATGATCGCAAACTGGTAGCTAAAAGAGCCGGCGAATTGAGCACCGAAATGTTCTTTGGTATTTTTGTGCGTGAAAGCGGCCCTCTGGAGAAAGATGGAATTGTGCTGAACGTAATGGACCAATCAGTTGACGTTCTTGTACCAGAACTGGGCATGGTCAAGAGGGTGTACATGAAATTCTGTCCCGGGGTGAAGCGCTACGCGTTCACCAAAGGTGAGAAGGGGAAACCAGCCGAGTTGCGATTGCTTTGGAGCGGCGAGTTGAATTGGGGTGATGTGATTCACGAAGAGGAGCAAATGTTAAAGACCTTCAACACGGTGCGGGTTATTTTGACGACTGAGAGTGAAACGGAAAGTAAGACTGCAAATCCCTTCAAGGTCATGGCCAAACTTGCTCCACCTCTCAAGTGCGGTGACGAATTTTACATTCCATCAACCCCAGCAACTGAGAAATCTCTAAAGAAGAGAGGCGCCAGAGGACATTCTGAAGCAGCTGGAGTCCCGAATAGTACCGACGACGTACGAAAAAAACTGTTTGTTTCCGAAGGCTCCGATGCTATTTTCAAGTCTAAGAAAGCTCAGGAGGTCGACAGTTTACACGTGAATCAAAGATCTGATGAAGAGGAGACTGGATCATATGGCTCCGACGACGTCATTGTAGAAGACGAAGAGGCGAATGAGGGCACGAACCTAGCCGATGATGATTCCGATGATGTCATCGTAGAGTCGGAATCCGACAATGAAGGGCATTGAAAAACTGCTGTGCGAGTTATGTTTGCTATCTTATTTGGACCGTTTTATGTTTGGTTCTAAAATTTGTATTTTAAGGAAATTTTCTTCACGGATTTTAACGGTAGTCGAATTTTTAATTGATCGACGGAGTACAACTCTACTCCAGAAAGCGGCTTAACTGCATGACACTTCATTACAAGGAAAACTTATTGAAAACCTCGCTCGCTCCTTAAGAGGAATTGGTACAATATTGTGCATTAGTTAGCTTCCGAAATTTGAAATAGAAATTTAGAGAGAAGAAAAATCATGCTTTATTTTATTTCCAAATATTAGCATCCCAAGAAAGGAAAATACAACGTGAACGAGAGTAATTTTCAGTTGTGTTAATATTAATCCGGGATATCTTTAGTTTTGCTTTGCTTCGGTGTGTGATTGGTCTAGAAAATTAGCACTAATTTCTCAACCATTTAGATTCAAAGCCAAAGCTGATCGTGATTTGGTCACCTGCGTTTTCCCGCGCTTCAGGCAGTTTGCTTGTTTTTACTTCAAGTTCTTTTCCTTTGTTCCCGTTGGCTGTTGTTTTTATCAACAATGAAGGACGCAATCGTTACAACTATTGCTTTGCTCAATTTCTAGATAAAGGGCCGTTGCTCCTTCCCAATTAAATTCATCACGCGAAGAAAAGAGACAGCGAAAAAAATAGGTGGGCGTAGAGAGCGCGGGACGCTCGTTAGCATGGTACGACTTGTATTTTCCCGCCGATTTCAATCCTTAACGCGACCAATCTCGTTAAAAAGGTCGCGCTTCCCTTATCCCCTGCGGGCGGGTATTCGTTTCCTTCCCGCAAGGGATTAGGGAAGGGTGACCTCTGGGAACGAGATTGAGCTGCCACATATTGAGAGCATTTCATCAGTTACAAGTAGTTCATGGTTTCGAGACGAATTTCGGATGCCCATTAGTCTTAAATCGGAACAATCCACTTTCCAATTATCCTGGAAAATTTGCAATCTTGACAGTTACTACTTTTTTTTTTTATTTTGAGATACTTAAATAA